GTATATGTGGAATATATATCGTATATCATAGCCTGGTCATGCTTTATTTACCTGCATATTCTTAATCAATTCTCAATCACAATTTACCTTCCAGCCTATTCAATTAAAACTTAAAATCAACTCAAACTCTTCCTTAGTTAGTTGCTTCTTATACAAATTCCTGCTAATACAAATTCTTTAGAATAGGCACAATAAAACGAGAAAGTGAAAGATTCGATTAACATTATTCAATTCCCAAACAAAAGCAGACCCATTCCGCCAGTTCGCCTCAATYGTCCRTTAATACAGTCTGRGGCACGAAATCAATGGCTGAKCAATTTGAAATATGCAGCAGGGCTAACACGTGCCGGGCTYCTCATGGCGCCAAATTGTCAACTGAGCTACCTGACCTCAGACCGCTTGCTGGCCCGGGTCAACTCAAATATCCATCAGCAGCTTAACACCTCCGAGCCCTAAGCCAGGCTATAACTTCTGCTCCATTTAGCAGCCGCTCCATTACGAATTCTAAGCAATTTCCTTATCAGCTTAGATAAAATCGTGGCCGGCAGTGATGCGTTGCGAATCCCGCCAGTCCCGCCAGACCCGCCATACAATAATAATTAGCATAGGGACAACGAACCACTCCAGAACTCGAAAGTTTATCATTTCGGGCGAACGTATTGCTGCCACTTATCGTCATCATCAACGGCAGCAGGAACTTCATCATTGCCTTCCTTGTTGGCGTACAGAATTCATAACTTTGGTGAATATTATTAAAATATGTACGGCTGGTCGCTGTGAATGACTCGATGGAAGTGCCCTCTGTCTCTCTGCCCCCTAGTTCCAGGCTCCTGSCCTCTGCTGTCCTGCGCTGTYCTGWCTGCGGCAATTGTTGAGCTGGAAGCAATCAAAAATGTTGATAAAATAATTTCAAATTCCATTTATATCCTTAAGGACAATTTGGCATTCACCGGTACTAATAATATTATCAACAACACCGTCCTCGTTGTCGCCTCGTTGCTGCTGCTATTGTTGTTGTTGTTGTTGTTGTTGTTGTTGTTGTGGTTGTTGTTGACTGTGCTGAATTCATCGAAGCCGCATCCTCGCTGTTTGGGAACCTGTCCTGCGGCGCATTTCCTTTCGCTTCCTGGCATCGCTGGCGCTTTCGCAATTTGTCAGCAATTGAAATTCACCAAACATTTTTGAATTTGTTTGGCCGCGATTTCAGCTCGAGCCTCGCGTTCGGGTCTCGGTTTCATGGTTTCATGCCCAGCAGGCACA